CCCCACAGCATCTGAGCACATCGCCTGTGGGCCGGAAGTCGCGTAGAGGTTCTCACCGAACTAAAAAGGAAAAAACACGGAGGTAAGATCGACAAGTTAACAAGGTTACGCTTAGCACCCCCAGAAAACGCACATGCAGCGGGAAGTAAACAAAGAAACGATATGTATGGAGCCATCCTAAGAGCGGTTCAGACAAACACACAAACGCAACTAGCAAGAACCAATTTATAGTGTCCTGCGATAAAGAACTTCATTTCCCGAAAGTACGGACAGGCGCCGGAATAAAGAGAGAGCGAAGAGTCACACCACTACGAACTCCCGTTGACAACGGGATTATGAACACAACCCAGCTACATGCAGACGGCAGCGTGAACACCATTAAGTGAATATAACGACATGTAATGAAGCCCCGAACAGATTGAAACAGCTTACCCCGTCGGCCCCCGAGTGTTTAAACGGGCAACCATGTTCCATTACATATTTTGCGTAGGTCAGCGCCTGGTAAACAGCATCGGAGTTCCGCTCCATCGGCATGAGAGGCTTTTTGAGTTTTCCAACCCTTTTCTTGTTGTGCTCGATCACGCAGTCTGTGTACACGGGCATGTGAACGCTCATATCGGCTCAAGGAATAGACTGCACGACACTTTGAACACAGTGGGAGAGGATACACAGACTAATGTCTTCAGGATACACAGATTAATATCTTCAGAAGCAGCAGCACAAGCACTGCGCCGTGTGGGTGGCCAGCCAGAACCCGCAGGCGGGATACGCAGGCACAGGAATAGCTGCACACTGGTTTATTTCATTTGACTCAGCTATTGCATGTTTGGTTCCGACTCACCATCTGTCACGTCTTCGGGCTGAGCTGATCTGGCATGAGCGGCAGTATTGCTGGTTTGCAGGAGAGCTTGACTGTTCCCCGAGGCGTCTTGGTGTTTGTGAACTTCTGCAGCGTTCACTGAGTTCTTAGGCTTATGAGTGGACGCGCTTTCATCCGCAGCCTCTAACTTGTTTTCTTTGGTCACACTTGACGCGTGAGAAGGCGCAGCACTTACAAAAAGTCCCAGAAGTAGAGCCACGAAGGCAGCTCCTACACAGGAGGACCGCCCCCTCATTTTTCCCACGTTAGATCTAGTTTCTGGTTGGCAGGATGTGAATTGATATACAACGTTGAAGTTCAGGCGGGGAACAAATTACGACACTGCGAGGAGTTTTCACCAGGGAAGCGAAATGGTACCGCGGAAGCAGCGACCGGTGATTTGGGGTCAGCACCGAGACTTTGAAGAAAGTATTGGCTTAAAATTGTTCAGGAAAAGGCTTAAAAAAGCTTAAAACGCGCTTCTGCTGGGCGTCTTGGAGTTTTCATGACTGGGCACTGGATGATCTCCATAGAGACAACCCTGCTGGTCGATGAGGCATCGGACAGCAGCCACAGACAACCTTAAAGTTCAGGATACCTTTAATGAAATATTGTTGGTGAATTGACGGCAAAAAAAGGGAACAAAATTTTGGACATTCCTCTGTGTGCTGCTGGATCAAAGCAGCCAGCTCAGCACGGTGACCAGCGGTGCCTCACACGTGGCAGCAGTACGCGCACACTTAAAGTAAAGCAAGCTAAACAATCCTTACTATTCTTCTTCTGCTTATCTCTTTTTAAAAGACAAACAGAATTTCAACCTTGAGCCATACCCGCCATGAGGCGGTATGTGTAGCTCCCACCTACCAAGCAGCCACACCGGTTTACGACAGCTGAACCGTGGGGTAAGGGCTTTAAATCACATCTACTGGCGAACTTGGCACTTCAAATTTTAATTATCTGCATGAGATGGAGTGAAATTACGCCTTTAACCCACAGAACGACTGTCTTTCGCTCGAAGGGTGTGTCCAAACCCCTGAAACCAGACTAAGGCTAGACCACGTGGCTTCCAGCGAAGCAAGCAAACAAACAATTCCTTCCCATCATTCACTTCCCCGATATTCACCAGCTATGTTTTCTAAAGACATGCATTTGCTCCTCGGAAGTATTCGATTGCTTCGTGATGATTCAAAAGTGTGTGGAGCGAATGGAGGGTGAGGAAAGCAACCGAAAAATACGGCAATGAGCTTAAGGCTAACCTTTACCCTTGTACGGAGAAGTCAAAGAGGAATGATTGGAGTGTTAGGCTGTACGCGAATGGTATATGGGGTCACAGACACCATTATATGCCACTTGGCCCACGAAGAAGCGTGAATGGTTTCATTTCTAAGAGGCGTCTGCCGCGGCCAGTGCCCAGGGAGGGTTAGCGGTGCAGTGCTGAGGATGGCATTTACAAGTGCCACTAAACCCTGAAATCCACGAAGAAATGGGGGCAATTAGTTCGGAAAATGGGGGGAATTAACTCGAAAACATCTTCGTCTGAGCAGTATATGGGGCCCTGGAAGGGAACAAAGGCGGGAGAATGAAAGGAAGTCTCGGAGAAGCAATCCAACAAAGAAATCCATGAAATCTGAATTGCCACTAGAAAGCAAGATCACAAGACTGTGTTCTGTAAAGTGCTACGGGCATCTTTAGTGTAGACGTTTAGCGCTGTTCGCAGCCAGATCGACAAGCAGAGCAGGAGCCCTTCCCGGTTCCGAATGAGTTGCTTCTTTCTGAGGCGGGGAGCTCTGATTCTTCTAAAGATTCCTTTATTTCACTGCCTGGACAAAAGCAATGACCACTAATGCTGACAAATGTTCGTACCGTAATGATTCCTCCTTAATGGAAAGATACGCTCTTCCCGTGAGGCCGTGCATGCAATGATATGTTAAAAAGGACCGGGCCTCTCATATAGTATGATGAAAATTAAAGGCTTCGCTTTTCGGTATATTGTTGTATGTAGCCTGTCCTTGTACAGCGCGCTGGCATCGGTAGGTGAGGAGCCAGACTAGAGCTGAGACAGCAGGCCAAGCCCCCTGACCCTCTGGGTCGGAAATTGTTACATTAGGGTGACTAAGCTGTGAAATGACCAACAGTGATCTTAATGTTTTTTTGATTATTCAGAATAACACATATGGAGTCAACGAAGCGGCGTAACGAGTGGTTGGGAACCCCGTTGTATCCTGGAGTATGAACCGCTACAGAGCACTTACTCGAAATATTTCAGGGCAGCCTTAAGTTCATTTTGAGGAATGCTCAAGCCAGCAATCAGGGTTTCTTCTAGAGATGGCAACACTCTTGAAAAGTGGAAGGTATACCATTCTGTCCTCTGGCTTCTTTTGAAACTACCCTATGCATCACTTTCCCAGTAGCGTTGTGTGGCCAACACTGGCAGGTAAAAAAGACTTGTTCTGGCTTCCTCAGTGTATGCTTCACGCTACGAGAGTTAGAACTCCTTGACTTCACCGTGGCATAGTCCCAGAGCAATCGGCTCCCAACATTCTTCCGTCCTGGAGAATAAGCTTGGCCTATTCTGTCCATTATAGCCCTTTAAGGCACTTCCAGCCTTACTCCACCGGCGTTGGTAACTATCTTTGTTTCCTTAGCCCTTGCTAACAGTAGGTGCCTATATTTACAGCCCTGTTGGCCAGACTACGCATAACTGGGCTTGAAAAAGAGAAACAATCCCTACTCAATTAGGGAGAGTAATCTTGCATTCCGGTGCGAATGGGTTCTGAAAATGGCGTAGGATTGTGGCAAAATAATCTAAGTTTTGCTTCAATTTCACTTATGTGTGTATTAAACTTCCCGTCACTTCAGTCCCACAGCCAGACTAAACCAATTCCTACCCCATGCGGGGGGTTCTGCACTGCAATTAGCACTTCATAGGCTAAGAAACTGTCTATTTCGTTGTGATGTAGGTGCAAATATTTGCTCCACAAAATTCACATAATACACATATAAACAGACTCAAGCGAACCTTAGTGACTGTTGGACTTTGGGCAGCTTGTCAGCACCTAATTCCTTTTCTCTTCCCGAAAAGTTCAGACAGTGGATAAGAAGACTTACACAGAAGGCATAGGAGGTGTTACAGCACAAGAGGGCTCTTACTGGGAAGCCTGAACACAGAGATGCAGATAAGGAGCTCAAGTCTCTTAACTTGGCACTAAAAACCTACATTGAAGTATCTGGACTCTGCACTGTTACTCCAAGCCCAGCAGGGAGGAGCAGCAGGTGCTTTCAACACTACGCTGACCACGAACTCTTGCCTGTTCTAGGAATAGTCTTCTCTTTTGATTCATAGTTACCAATATCTGTACACCTTTTGTGGTGAGTGAGCGGAAATCAATGTACTACACGTCGACAGCTCGTGCTCCTGGTGGATGCCAGCGGTTACTGTCCAAAGTGCCTCTCTGTTGCGTAAGGAACACGCTTACTCCAAGACTATTCATCTAAATTGATTTAATTTAACGCGGGAAAAGAGAAAAAACACATGAAATATCCTCTCCGGGGCCTGAGGCTGGGCTGTACACTCACTGGGCACGAAGCAACGGCCGCATGAGCCAGTGGGGGAAATCACAGTTGACACAAGACTCCTCAACTCGTCGCAATGCCTTTCAAAAATAACGAGTTTTTTACATGAAGTCGAATAAATAAGAGTGCCACAATCGGGGAATATACCAATTTGTTCCACTGCAGTTGCCTCAGCCACGTGATGTCCACTCAAACCAGGCACGCGACTCTTCTCGGGTCTCACCCTTCTGCATTCTCTTAAGTGAGAGCTTCTTGCAGTTCGTTTGCGTTTTTAAAAGAGTGAGAGAGGGAGAGGCCGAAGAGTCCGCAGAGCCTTTCGGGTGCGTCTCCAATGGACGAGCTGGAGAGCCGGGGCTGCTGCTGATGGACACGCGGATCTGACCAGCATGCTTACGCCATTGTTGAGGGTTTTTTTGCAGTTTTGCTTTTTATAGTGACAGAAGCTGAAGTGTACAGACAGTTCAACGTATGCAGAGGGAACTGTAGTGGCCGGGATCACTTGCGACGCGAACCCGCCCGTGTCTTCGTTGCTAATGTTAGCAGCAGCAGTCGCTCTCACAGAACGTAGATGGAGAACCTCTGGACTCTCAGGTGTTCTTGCACTTCTTTATCGGGGAGCCCTTCCGCGCAGCCGCGGCTTCAGCAGCAGCAGCAGCGTCGGGCGCCCCAGCAACCATTCAAAGGGCTGCAGCAGCAGCAGCAGCAACACAAGTGCCAGCACGGCATGTTTTGCACGCAGCTCCCGGCTTTTAGGACCAAATGTGAAGGAGCTGTTGCTTCAGCATCAGGGCCTCTTGATTTGCAAACAAATGAGGCTGTAGTACGAAGCGAGCCCAGCGCTTGCTGCAGCAGCAGCTGCTGCAGCAGGAGCCAGAGCGGCCGCCTTGAAGTTTCACAGGGGGACGCGCTTCTAGGCAGCTGCAGCAGCAACAGCCGCGACAGCTTTATTGGTGGCGGTGACGCCGGCAGGTGCAGCGACAGCAGCAGCAGCAGCAGCAGCAGCGGCCTTCCGCGCATTGGCAGCACAGGCAGCAGCCCCAACAGCAGCACAAGCAGCTGCGCACACACAGATAGCAGCTCCGAGCTGCTCTCCTGTGCTGCAGTGCCCCAGGTGGCTACGGGGCGTGCTGCAGCACAGTTGCTGCTGTCGGAGGCCAACGCAGCGCCCGCAGCACAGCAGCAACAGCAGCAGCAGCAGCAGGATCGGCAGGAAGAGGAGCAGCAACATACTGGGCAAGACCAGGACCGAGCACAGCAGAAGCAGCAGCAACGAGAGCTGAGGCAGCAGGAACCGCAAAGGGCATTGCGACTAGCGCATGCGCAGCAGCAGCAGCAGCAGCAGCGAGAGGACCGAAACATCCAGCAGAAGCAGCAACCCCATCAGCAGCAGCAGCAGCAACAGAAGGAGCGTCCTCGCTGGATGCTGCGTCCCCCGCCAAAGCACCTTCTCAACCTCTTGGAAAGGGAGGCGTTCCGCTGCTGCTGCAGCAGCTGCTGCTCGTCAGTAGCGCAGCAGCGGCAGCAGCTTCCCTCAAGCCCCCACCTCTCTGCTGTGCTTAAGGGGGATAATGCTGTTGGTGGGTACGGCGCAGCAGCAGCACCTCTTTGCAGCAGCAGCAGCAGCGGTGGCAGCAGCCACAGCGAGCCCCCCGCTCCAAAGGTGGCGGCGGCAAAGTTATGCGGCGCCGCAGCAGCAGCAGCAGCAGCTGCTGCTGCTGCTGCAGCCGCTGCAGCAGCAGCAGCCGCTGCTGCAGATGGCTCGGATTCTGCTGCTTTCCCGTGCATGCTCGGGGGCAGCAGGAAAGGACTTCCGCTGCTGGAGAGCCACGGAGAAACTAGCAGCTCAAGCAGGTGCTGCAGCAGCAGCAGCGACGGAGATGAGTGCTGCAGCGTCGCAGCGCCTCTTTGCTGCTGCAGCACGAAAGAGAAGGCTGCAGCTGGCGGGCACCACGCGGACAACGCATTGAGGCTGAAGCCAACTGCTGCTATTCTCGCTGCTGCTGCTGTTCCTGCTGCTGCCGCTGCTGATGCTGCTGGTGCTGCATCAGGTGAGGATGACCTGCAGCAGCAGCGTACACCAAAACGGCTTTCCGCAAGCAGCTGCCTTCGGAACGTCAGCGCTCTCAACACCAGCAGCAGCAGCAACAGCAGCAGCAGCAACAGCGGTAAACGGAGAAGCAGCAGGGAGTGCAGGTGCGGCGGGGAGACAAAGAGCAGCAGCAGCTGTCTGCTTCGAGGCCTGCAGCAGGGGAGAGAGTCTGCTGTCACCGAGCAGACGCGCTGCAGCGGCTGCAGCGGCACCAGCAGCAGCTGCAGTGGCAGCAGCAGCTGCAACAGCTGCAGCAGGCACGGTCTGCAGATGCAGCAGCACGAATGCACTCTAGCAGAAGGAGCTGCAGCAGCAAATGCCGGTGCTGCTCAGCCTCTCCACACTCTTAAGACAGCAGACACAGGGGCCGCAGCAGCAGCAGCAGCGCGGAGCTGCTGCTGCTGCGCCTCTTCTGAATGCGCAGCAGGAGGTATCGACAACTACTTATGCTGCTCCACGCCGGCAGAGGCACCGGAAACAACTGCAGCAGCAGCAGCAGCAGCAGCAGCAGCACCAGCAGCAACGCTCAGTGACGGCCCTTCTGTGTGTGCAGGTTGCACAGCACCAGGTGGTCGCGCAGCTGCTGATGAGGACAGCAGCAGCAGCAGCAACCCCGACAGCAGCTGCTGCTGCGCCTTTTCTGCGCGCGGCGGCTACATTTTAATAAAGAAGTTAAACTTCATCTTGAGACATGGAGCTTCTCTATTTCGATTGCGCATTCGAGAAGATGGATTTGTTAGAGTCCGAGACCTCTTGGCGCTGCCCTGCATGCGCTCTGTAACCTGGAATGACCTCAAGAGTGTAAGTTGCTGCTGCTGCTGCTGCAACTCGTGTTGCTGCTGACGCATGTGGTGTATGGGGTGCTCGCCGTCACCTGGGGTGACCTTGGGAGTACAGCTTGCTGCTGCTGCTGCTGCTGCTGTTGCTGTTCGTACTGCTGCTGATGCCCGTGATTCATGTGGTGCTCGCCGCATTCGCTGCCAGGCCGCGGCTGCGTCCTTTGCTGCTGCTGCTGCAGCTGGTGCTGCTGCTTCTGGCACTGTTGGTGAGGGCGGATGCTTATGCTCATGCAGCTGCCGTACAGCTGTCGTGCCGCAGCTGAGTGCGTCTCTGCCGCTTTTGTTTGATGTTTTAATTGCTGTTGCTGCCTTAGCTGCTGCTTTTGCTGCTCCTGCTGCTGCTCCTTGTTTGTTGCTTTTGCTGCTGCTTTTGGTGCTGCTGTTACTGCTGCTGCTGCTGCAGTTGCTGCTGCTATTACTGCGAACCCGGCCACCTCTGCCGCTGTCTTCAGGCCGTTGAAGGAAATTTTAAGCGGCGATATGAACTTGTGTACGACAAAACGGAAGTAGAGACCTGCCCAGCCCTCATGAAGCAGCAGCAGCAGCAACAGCAGCAAGGAGAGGAGGGAGAAATGCTGCAGCAGCTAGAGGAGCAGCAAGCTGACTCGACCCAGGATTTGGCGGCGTTGGGGTGTTGCGACTGTGCTCACGCTGAACGCAGCCGCTGTAGCAGCGGCTGCAGCAGCAGCGGTGGCCTCACCACCCCCCCAGCAGCAGCAGCAGGAGCAGCAGGCGAGAGCCTATGCTGCAAAAGCGGCAGCACTGTTGTCTGTGGCTCAGTTGCTTGTGCAGATCACGGAGATAAAGCAGCAGCAAAGAAGGTTGAACGACTCAGCGGCAAGTGGCTGCTAAGAGCCACACAGGGCCACACCATTCCATACATACGCAGGTTAGCAGCAGCAGCACCAGCAGCAGCAGCAGCAGAAACCACAGCAGCAGCACGAACAGCAGCAGAGGAAACGACACGCGAGGCAGAAGTAGAAACACGGGTAGCAGACGTGCTGGTGTGGCGGCAACTGCGGCGCAGCAGCAGCGAAGCAGCAGCACAGCAGCAGCAGCGCAGCAGCAGCAGCGGTAGCTGGTTGTTGTGTTTGTTGTTTGCAGCGACTTGTTCATGCGGAGAGTGGAGAACGCTGCTGAGCTGCCCATTTGTGCCCACGGAACTTATCTAAGAAACTGGATGGCCATAAGGCATTTGGGGCTGCACAGAATGCACAGAAACCACATTCGTGAGCAGCAGCAGCAACAGCAGCAGCAGCACATGCATGCAGGGCGCGTCTGCAGTTTCTGTCTCGCTGCTGCTGCTGCTTCTCCGCACCATGCGGGCTGCAGCAGCAAACGCTGCTGCTGCTGCGTCTGTTGGCTGAGGCTGCTGCTGTGCTTTCCCTCTCGGCAGAATTTTCGCGCTTTGTGGCTGCAGAGCGCAGCTGCCGGGCTGCCGAGTGACGTTGGCCGCCACCCACACATGCAAATTTGCTGCTGCTGCTGCTGCTGCTGCTGCAGACTTCGCCACAGGGCTGCCGGGTGAGGCGACGGTGCTGAGCGGCATGCGTCGGAACTCCGAAGTTGCGGTGTATCTACACGTGGCGCGGGCAATGGCCAAGGGGGCAGTTTTTCTTCAATCCACAAATGGAGTTGTTTTAACTGAAGGCATAAAGGGGAGGCTGCCGCCGGTAGGCACTGCTGCTGCTGCTGTTGCTGCTGCTGCTGCGGCTGCGGGGCAGGCCAGCGGGGACTCGGCAGCGAACTGTGCAGCATTCAGACTGAGATAGCGCTCTAGATAAACAGGCAATAAGGCATTATAGCAGCAGCTAGAAGCGCTTAGTGTCAGGGCGAAGAAGTGCTGCAGCAAAAGTATATTTGAAATTCAGTTTAAGTTCAGCCGTTCTAGAGAGGGCAGTACGAGGTCCTTTGCATCTGGGTGCACCGTTGCTGCTGCTGCTGCTGCTGCTGCTGCTGTGCTCATGCTCGTTTTTCTGGCGCGGCTGACGGCGCTGCAACGCCGTTGCTGCTGTTGCTGCTGCTGCTGCTGCAGGAGCTGTTTGCGAAGGTGGTGCTGCTGCGGGAAGGCGTGGTGTTGATGCGGGACGGCGTGGATATGACAGATGAACATACAGAACTAATTCCCGAAGCTTTGCTGCATGCATCTGAATCAGCGATTTTCAGAGAGCAGCTGCAGCGGGACTTGGGCGTGCTGCAGCTGTCGCCGTATGCAGCACCAACCTGCGGGCTGATGGCCCGGCAGAGCAGCAGGGTGGACCTTGCAGCAGCAAACCATTTGCTGCATGCGTACCACCACCACCGCCACCACCACCACGACAAGAGCCACCAGCAGCAGCAGCAGCAGCAGCAACTGCAGCTGCTTCGCCAGCTGCAGCAGCACACTGAGGGCGACCACGAGCTGCAATGAGCAGCAGCGCAGCAACACACCTAGGAACGGGAAAGCGACAGAGGCAGCAGAGGCAGCAGATGCAGGAGCAGCAGGAGCTGCAACGGCTGCAACAGCGGCACCCCCCGCTCGTGGAGCTGCAGTAGCAGCAGCAACAGCAACGCCGGCACCCCCAGGCGCTGCAGGAGACGCAACATTAGCAGCAGCAGCACCCGCTGGAGCAGCTGCAGCAGCAAGAACACACCCACCATATCGGAAGGGGGGGAGAGGGCACTTCAGGGGCATTGAGTGGCTTCCGCCTGAGCAGCAGCGACGGGCGTGACCAGGAGAAGCAGCAGCAGCAGCAGCTGCTGCTGCTGCTGTTTCAGTGATAGCCTAGAAACAAAGGCTTGCGCGCCAGTAGAGGGTCTGTCTGTCTTATGGTTAATAACTGAGTCGAACGAGAAAGCAAAGAGCTTTCTAGTCAGCTTTTTTTATTGGTAAGACACTCGGCTGAAGTGTCTGTACACCCTGGAGGTGCCAGGGCACGAGGGAGGTGCTTCTATCTGTACACCTCGGAGGTGTCTGTACACCTCAAATGTTCTGTGTGCCCGAAAGTGTGAAGTACGCCGCCGCGTAGTTTCGTGTACACCCCAAAGTTGCGTGTACACTGCAAGTTTGCATTGGGCTGTATGTACAGCGGGCTTGGGGTGCCTGTGCCAGGTGTCTGTACACCTGAGGGGGCCGCGTGCACTGTACAGAGCTGCGCGCTTTGATGCAAATGGAATTAAAGCGTCCGTTCTTTGTCTTCTTTTGTTGAATTAGATCTCCGTGCAGTCTCGGTCGGGTGCTGCTGCTGCGCCCGCGGAGGGCGCAGGCCGAAGTGCCAAAGAGCAAAGGCACACTGGCAAGCACACTAGCACAGATAGTGTGTGCAGCAGCAGCAGCAGCAGCAGACGGAAGCTGAATGACAGCGCCGTTGAATTTGGGTTCTTGCTATCTTAATTTCATGGATGTGGAGGCCAGTAGCGATGCCTAAGAAACAGGAAAAGTCCAGCAGCAGCGCTTAGAGCTGCTGCGTGCCTTGTTCTATTCCATGTTGCTGATGTTTAAGAGTGAGTGTCAGTTTTGTGGAATTACGGCTTTCGCGCCGCCCTTGTTCGCGGTGTACGTACACCTCGACGCACTACACGTTCTTTTCGCTGCAGCTCGCAGCAGCAGTCTTCTCTTAATCTGCAGAGGGATCACACAAGCATATTTTTTTAAATTAATCGGAGAGTTTAGACACAAAACCAAAAACCATGCATTGATTTTGTTACTCCAATTCGACGCGGTGCGCTGCCAAAGCGGCAGAGCCAACTAGTTGGCTCCAGACTTAAATAGTATTTCTTTTATTTTACTTCCAAAAACCAAAGTGCTCACTAAGAGGACTACTTAAGTTGCTGCAGACACAAAAATGGTAAAGGTCCGGACGAAGTGGTGGCAGTATTCTCAAAGGCTGGATTAAAATGAGGAAGTAGTCTCGCACTAGTTTGCTTCAGCAGGCAGCATTGGTATTAGTTTGCTGCAGCAGGCAGCATCAGTATTAGCTTGCTGCAGCAGGCAGCACCCGTATTAGTCTGCTGCAGCAGGCAGCACTAGTAGTAGCTTGCTCCAGCAGGCAGCATTAGTATGAGTTCGCTACAGCAGGCAGCAAAAGAGCAGCAGCAGGCACACGACCGCTCCTTAGCTGCTGCAGCCAGTAGACTGGGGAGTTGGCGGCGCTGCAGAGGGCTGTAATTTTAGACCTTTTTTTATTGTTTATATTCTATTATGAATATTTAGTTTGTCAAATGTATCTATAGATATGTTGTTGTTCATCTTTGTGTTCCTCAACTGCATGCAAGCTAACTGGCTCATCCATATTTGCCTACCCAAGCTCAAGGCTGTGGGAGTCAACGCTAGAAAGTTGCAGAAAGACAAAACTGGATCTTAAAAGGTTCTTTAAAATCTTCTTAAAAAGCATCTCTGCACTAAAAAATGGAATAAATGGAGTTGAATTGTCCGGCCCTGCCTCGGCGGTGCACTGCTTGAGGTGTATGTACACCTCAGCGCAAAGCGCTGCAGTGTACATACACCGCGCGAGTTCGGCCGTTTCAGTCGGGAGGCAGAGCCCCAGGAGGCGGCAAAAAAGGAAGCAAAGGATGATTAGAATTTATAAAACTAAATAAAGGACGAAGAGCACTATTTCCCCGCAAGCAAGGAGGCACACAGCGAGGGCCGCGGCAGCGCAGCAGGTCCGCTAGGGTGGCTGCTGTCAAGCCGTCGCAGCAGCAGCTCCCGCTGCTGCTGCTGCTGCTGCTGTTGTCGCTGCAAGGGCTGTCACTGTCAGTGCCACTGCCGTGGCTGCCGGTCCCGCTGCTGCTGCTGCTGCTGTTGCTGCTGGTGTGGCTGTTGATCTTGCTGCAGCTGCTGCTGTTGCCCTTCACCCGATGGCGGCCCCAGCAGCAGCGCGTTTGCCCACAAGAGCACTTTGCGCTTGCCTGAGAGCCTGCTGCTGCTGCTGCTGTTGCTGCTGCTGGAGGCCGCTCCTGCAGCTGCAGCAGCTGCAGCAGGTGCTGCATCTGCTGCTGGTCCATGTGGCGCAAATGCACAGAAAGGAAGCCCGAAATGACCCACTGCAGCTCCAGTGAAGGAAGATGGGGAGCCAAAAACAGCAAATAAGATTTCATTTCTGCACTTTTGAAGCTGGCAGCAAGTGCAGCGTCCTGCGGTTCCGCAGCGGGCTCCCTGAGGTGTCTGTACACCCCAAAACGCTCTGCAGCAGACCCAAACTCTGCAGCAGCTTGCATGCACTGGCGCCTCACCAGCAGTCCCAGCTCGCACTGCTGCTGCTGCTGACGCTCAGCAGCAGGAAGGTAGCGAACTAGGGGCACTCCCCAGATGTTCAGTGGCTCCCCCGGGCCAGCAGCAGCAGCAGCTGCTGCTGCTGCTGACGGTGGGCTTCCTGCTGCTGCTGCTGCTGCTGAGGGTGGGTTTCCTGCTGCTGCTGCTGCTGCAGGTGAGGACGCGAGCATCATCAGCCGCTTGTGCGCCTCGAAGTGCAGGCGGCCCCCAGGCTTGGCCTCGTAGATCCAGTCATCCTCAGCTGCTGCAGATTCTGCTGCAGGGGCTGCAGCGGGCGCGGAGGGGGCTGCTGCTGCAGCAGCAGCTGCTGCTGCTGCCTCTTCTTCCCCCCGCTGGCTGTCGTTCGCGCCTGCATCGTGTGCTGGACATTCTGCCCCCACTGCCTCCTCAAATAACTCCTTTTCTGAGTTTATTTTTAATTTATTTCCCTTTTTTTCTGCCAAAAGAGTCCCCACAGACTGCTGAGACGAAGAGAAGCAGCAGCTCTGACCGCAGCTTTCAATAACACGCAGCCTGGGTCGCCAGCTGCGCACCCATAGCAGCCCTGCTGATGCCGCTTTCAACATAGGATGAATTTAATTTAATTATTTTATTAAACGGTTTTAAACTTGCAAAGATTTAGCAGCAGTTACACGCAGGAAGAGCCAGAAAAAAGACAAGATCAGCCCAAACGCAGCAGCGAGCCAGCGCAAGCTGCGCGCAAGGCACCGCCTTCATCATTTATGGAAAGCGTTTGATTATAAATTGAAATGTGTTTGACTTTTTCCAAAAACGTAAAAAAAAAGGAGTAAAAACTGGTGGGCTGGAGGCTAGCTTGCTTACGGGGCTGGGCTGGCTGCTGCAGGGAAGCTGCTGAGTGTGGTTTGTCTGCATGCAGCGGCTGCTGCGCACGTGGAGCATTTGTTGCTGAGTAATTAGAAGAAGAGCCTGCGGCTTTGTTTTGCGGGAAAATTGAAAGTTGAAATCCTGCAATTCTCTGTCTGTAGACTGGCCGAACGGGGCGCCGGTGTGGGGAGCGGGGTGGAGGCACTTGCGCAGCATTTGGGGCGGTTTCCGCGGGGGAACTGGGAAAGTGAGGGGAAATATAAGTGGAAATATATATTATTTGCACAATTTTGAACATTTTGCGCGCGGAGATCGCGTGGTAGCTGGGAATTCGGGGCAGGTTCCGCGAGGTGTTGCGCCGACGACGCACAATGACGGAGCCCGCAGTCAGCGTGGAGCAGTTCCCCGTGGAGGACTTGTTGAATATTCACCAAATGATATATTTGCCGAGCACTTTGGACTTGTTGGTGAGCCATTTGGAAAAGGGAATCGCCGCGGGCGGGGCCTCTCCCGACTTGTGTTCTGCGGTGCTCCGGCTGTACCTGCTCTACCCCCAGTGCGCCAATGCAGAAGTTGTACGCAAGATCCTCGTGCAGACTATAGTGGCTCTTCCTGAGAACCAGTTTGGCTACTACGCATGCATCGCGCCTTCGCACTTTTCGAACCCCGAAGACGAAAAGAAGGTCCAGGACGTCCTCACTCTCCAGGAGCTCCTCGAGAGCTGCGACTTCAAAGCGGTGAGCCCGGCGCAGCAGCAGCAGCAGCAGCTGCTGCTGCTGCTGCACCATATGCTGCTTGTTAAGGCCTGCATATTAGCTAAAATGCTGCTGCGCGCTTCTTGCTTTTGCTGCTTCCACGAAGCACCGCGGCTTCAGTGCGGCTGCGCGTACACTTGCTGCGCAGCGTGTGCGCCGCTGCTGCTGCAGCTGCTGCTGCAGCAGCAGCAACGAGCCCGCGTTTTTCGGATTTTTAAGCTGCACGGGTGTGTTTTTCGGATTTAAATCTGCTGCTGCTGCTGCTGCATGCGTGGAGGCCGCTGGAGCTGAATAGTTTCTCGGTTGGTGCGGAGTTTGCTGCAGGCGTGGGCGATGCTGCGGGAACCCGAAATGGCCGACGTGCTGCACACGCCGGGAGTGGTGGAGGCGCTGCGGCGTTATGTGTGCGAAGTGCTGCAGCAGACGTTTTCGACAATATCTCTGTCGGACTTTTGCCAGCTGCTGAACCTGAACGCAGCAGCAGCAGCAGCAGCAGCAGGCGCAGCAGCAGCGGCCGACGAGAAGGTCGAAAAGCTCGTCAAAGCCAGGGGATGGACCATCGAAGATGCTGCTGCTGGCCAAAAGATTGTCCGAGTTGTCCCCAGAGAAACTGATGCCCCCAAAGCCCTCGCCACGAGAGCTTCTGTGGCTCACAAAACTGTTGAAAAGTATTTATCTGTCGAAGGCCTTCGCCAGTGCCTCGCGCTTCTCGAGAGCTAGCTCCCCGCAGCAGCAGCAGCAGCAGCAGCAGCGGCGGCGGCCGCAGCTGACACGCAGCAGCAGCCGCCCACCAGCTGCTCCAACGGCAGCTGCAGCGGCTGCAGCAGGAGCCGCTGCAGCGGCTGCGGCTGCAACGGCTTCAGCTGCGGCGCCAGCAACTGCGGCAGTAGCAGCTACAGCAGCGGCAACTGCAGCAGCAGCAAACTGCAGCTGCAGCAGCTCCAGGTTGCTGCTGTAGAGGCAGGAACTCATTTGTTCGTTTCTCAGCCTAGCTCTGTCTTTCGTTTGCTGCTGCATGGGCTGCTGCTTGAAGGCCACGGGACCGGCATGCAGCTGAACAACTACATCCTGCTTGCTGCACCAGCTGCAGCAGCAGCAGATTAGAAGTGCCGCTGCGTGCGTTTAGTTGCAGCTGCTGTTGCAGCTGCAGCAGCAGCGAACTAGAAGTGCTGTTGCGTGCGCTTAGTTGCAGCTGCTGCAGCTGCAGCAGCAGCTGCAGCAGCAGCAAACTAGAAGTGCTGCTGCGTGCTGCTAGTTAAATACAAATTAGGAAGCAGTTGGTCTCTGCAGAAATCAACATATGCCTCCAGACAGCTCCGCTGCTCTCTTGGCCGCACAAGCCGCAGAGACAGAAGCAAAATGGGGCCAGAGGCGCATCAGCTGCAGCGCGTTGCTGCTGCAGCAGCACGAACAGCAGCGGCGCTGCGAGGTTCTGCTGCTGTTGCTGCTGCTGCAGGAGGCGCTGTCGTCGCAGCAGCAGCAGCTCTTGCTGCGGGGAAAAAGGCCTTAGGAGCCCAAACTACAAGCAGTGTCCCGCTTCTGCTGCTGCTCCTGCTGCTGCTCTTGTTGCTGCTGCTGAGACAGCCCGAGAGCTTCTACAGTTGTCTGCAGGCACAGCTGCACCTCCCGCCGTAAGCAGCTGCAGCGCAGCAGACGCAGCAGCAAAAGCGCAGCACCAGCAGCAGAGGGCTCCAAAGACAGCACTTAATGCATTGCAGCAGCGGCAGCACATCGCAGCAGCAGCAGGACGTCGCAGCAGCAACGGCAGTCTGTCTCAGCAGCAGCAGCAGCAGCGGCAGGGGCCTACGCGTCATCGCACGTGACCAGCGAGACAAGCTTTGGCATTAACAGCAGCAGGTGCGCCTTGCTGCCTGCAGCACAGCAGCGCAGCAGCACAGTAGCAGCAGCGCCGCTATTCAGAGGCATCTAAGTATAAGAAACAATCTAAACCAAACTAGGGAAGCTGCATATCAAAGGGAAGCTGCAGCAGAGCCGAATGGCAGCAACAGCAGCAGCAGCAGCAAGCCTCAAAAGAAGCAGCAGCATTCGTTGTTGCTGTTGCTGCGCCACGACCGCGGCCACCGCCGTGGCGGCAAAGCAGCTCGCCGCACAACAGCTCGCACAGCAGCAGCAGCAGCAGAGGCAGCAGCAGCGGCAACACACCTGCAAGCTGCATCAGCAATGAAACGCTTGGACGAGAGCTCTGCGGATTTGCAGGAGCAGCACACTGGAGTGTCCGTACACTTGAAAACACGAAAGCCAGGAGACGCGGGTCCACAGCCCCTCCCTGCGAGCAGCAGCAGCAAATAAGCAGCGAGACAAAACCAAATAAAGTGAAAAGCACGCGCTAAGCTGCTGCTGCTGCTGCTGCACGTGCTGTTGCTGCTGCTGGTGCAGCTTCTGCTGTTGGTGTTCCCGCTACCGGCCTCGGAGGTGCAGGTGTTGCTGCTGCTGTTGCTGCGGGTGCTGCTGCTGCTGCTGTTGCTGTTGCTGCAAACGAACCTCTGGGCCATCACGAGCTGCCTCTGCGTACGCTCTGACGACTCTGTCACACTCCTGCAGCAGCAGGGGCAGCAGGAACTCTTGTCTTGCTGCAGCAACTGCTGCAGTTGCTGCTGCCGCTGCGTCACTTCCCTCTGCATGCGCCTCCTCCGGGCTGCGCGCTTCGCACACCCGGAAGAACCTGGCAGCAGCACAACAGAAGGCGGCAGCAGCTGCTGCAGCACGTCTCAGCCGCAGCCAGCAGCACTGCTGCAGCAGCGGCCACTGCAGCAGCAGCTCATCGGTCCACTGCTGTTGCACTCCAGCAGATCACGGTGTACGTACACCTCAAGTGGGGTAAGCGCTTACAAAGAAAATGCCTCTTGGGCAAAAGTTGACGGAGCCCGCATGTCAGTGCAGGCTAGCTGCAGCACCGAAGCCTGAACCAGCAGCAGCAGCAGCAGCAGCAGCAGCAGCAGCAGCCCAGCTCAGCGCCGTGATATGCTGAAACCCCGGCGAGGTAAGCAGCAACAGTAGCTGCCGATGTTGCTCTTGCTGCTGCTGCTGGTGCTGTCTAGGGAGGAAGGATATCTTACGAGATCGGCCAGAGTGGTGGTAGACCACGGGTGCTGCTGCTGCTGCTGCAGCACCGTGGCAGCAATCCGCAGCACCCATCGCCGCAGCAAGACAACCTCCGGACTGTCACAGAGTTGCTGCTGATGCTGCTGCTGCAGCTCCTGCTGCACGTGCTGCACTTGCTGCTGCACCTGCTGCAGCTCTTGCAGCAGCTGCTGCAGCGTTTGCTGATTGCTGGGGCTGCAAGCGTACGGGGGAGGAGGCGGCTGCTGCGGGAAGAGCTGCTGCTGCTGCTGCTGCTGCAGGTACAGCTCGCTTGCAGCAGCACTAGGAAGAAAGGAAGGGGTGCTAAATGGTTGCGGCAGATGCGCTGCAGCGCAAAAGCACCCCAAATCCTGAACCCTAAACCCTGAACCCCTGAAACCTAAACCCTAAACCCTAGCCCCCAAACCCTAAACCCACGATCCCAAGCCCCAAAAACAGCAACTCGCGGAGACTGCATGCGCCACAAAGGTTTAAGTGTCTCCTTACTTTGAACAGCATTTAGTTGCTGATGTTTGTGCAGAAGTTGCTGTAGCTGCTGCTGGCGTTTATGGAGCTGTAGCAGCTGCTGCTGCAGCTGCTGCTGCTGCAGCTGCTGCTGCTGCTTCTGCTGCTGCTGCAGCGAACCGTGGTCATCCGTAGCTAGCTGCAGCAGCGCAGAGCTGACTGCGCGCCACAGCAGCGCCAGAGTTTCAGGCGAGACAAGTAGATTAGCTGCTGCTGCTGCTGCTGCTGCTGCAGCATCTTCACAAAGAGTGCATGCAGCTTGTGCTGCCAGAGCCCAAAAGCCAACTGACTTCAGCCGCGGGTCTTGGCGGGTAGCAGCAGCAGCAACGAAGTGCTGCAGCACCAGAGGCACGCAGCTTAGGACAGCATCTAGGGCCGTTCTGTTGCTTCTGCTGCTGCCGCTGGAGCCCCGTTGCTGCTGCTGCTGCTGCTGCTGCTGGTCTGCATGCATTGCCTTGACGATGGCTATACGGAAGAACTGCAGCAGCAGCAGCAGCGCCGAGCTGCCCAGCGCAAGACTCAGCGAGTCCCCGAAAAGCCGCCGCAAGTTCAGCAGCACCCGGCAAATCTGAAACACACAGCGCGGCGCAGCAGCAGCAGCAGCAGCAGCAGCTGTAAGGCAACCGACAAACGAGCCGCAGGAGCTTGAACAAAGCAAGACTACGGACATACCGAGTGCTAAGGCAACAGGAAAACAGCAGCCGCAGCAGCAGCACCAGCAGCAGCAGCAGCTAACCTCCTCCAGAAGGCAGGGCAGGACATCTTCATTCGGGGCTGCATGCGCAGTCGGCAGCAGCTGCAGTAAACGCCCGCAGGTCATTAGCTGGAGGCTTGTGAGGCGGAAGGAGCAGCAAAAGGGCAGTTCATCTTTCAAGCACGCAGCGGCATCAGCAGCACTAGCAGCAGCCGCTGCAGCAGCTGCTGCTGCTGCTGAGCCCTCTTCTGATTCTCCAGCAGCTGCAACGTCCGTTAATGCTGCGCTTGCTGCTGCTGCTGTTTCCAGCGGGGAAGAAGCTGCTGAAGGTGTTTGCTGCAGGGGTAAGAAGCGGCGCAAGTCAATCCGCTGTCTCATCTCGTCCAGCATGGCTGCTGTTGGTGCAGCAGCAGCAGCAGCTGCTGCTGCTGTTGCGGCTGCTGCTGCTGCTGTTGCAGCTGCAGGTGTGCTGCTCGTGCTGCTGCATGCGGTGCTGTCGGGCTCAAAGGGGTTCGTTGACTTCACGTGCTGCGGAGAACCTGCTGATCCTCGGGGGCTGCTGCTGCTGCAAGCAGCAGCAGCAGCAGATGCAGCGGCAGCTGCTGCTGCAGCATGCTGCTGCAGTCGCAAGCACGAAAAGCCCAGCTTGAGGCTGTCACCGTTACGTTTGCTGCTGCAGCTGTTTCGTCTAGCTGTCCCTGCTGCGCCTTGCACTCCCTGCACAGGCGGCAAGTGTAGCAGGAGCTGGTGCTGCTGCTGTTGCTGCTGCTGAGACCCCACAAGCAGCCTGCAGTCTGCTGCAGCAGCAAACTCCATGACGCTGCTACGAACGACCGCCCAAGAGTACCAAGGCCCCTCTGAAGCGGGGTGTGCAGCTGCATGCCACTCCTGCTGCTGCTCCTCTTGCAGCAGCGGCAGTTGCTGCTGCTGCTGCTGCTGCGCCTGCTGTTGTGGCTGCTCCTGTGGTGGGGTCTCTGGAGAAGTACTGGCCCCTGCGAAGCGAAGTCAACCACCAAACCCTCCCTTAGCCTTGAATCAGTGCAGGGTTTAGGGTTTAGCGTTCCGGATCTAGAGAATCGGATCACCGGCGCAGCTGCAGCAGCAGCAGGGAATGAGGCAGCCAAACCACCGCAGCAACAGCAGCACCAACAGCAGCAGCAACAGCAGCAGCAGCAGCAGCAGCAGCAGCAGCAGCAGGGCTGACCAGTGGTCTCCGCAGCAGGCGGCAAGGCAAGGGGAGTTGCATGACGAGAAAAAAGAGAAGGCGAAGTCAGCACCCCCAGCGCGAGCTGTACAGACACCGCGTGCTCCACTGACCCAGTCGTCACTGCTGCTGCTGCTCCTGCTGCTGCAGCAGCTGCTGCAGGGGCTGCTGCTGCTGCTGCTGCTGCTGTCGCTGCTGCTCGTCGTGCAGAAGCGAACTCCAGCAGCTCCAGAAGAGAAGACATGACGGCCTCTGCCTCTTGCGCCCCCAGCGAGCTCCGCTGCAGCAGCAGCAGCAGCTGCTTCTGCTGCTGCTGCTCGGGGGTGCTTGCTTGCTGCAGTGCACTTAATGGCGGCAGCAGGTTCCTCGCAAGCTGCCAGTACACTGACCAACCCATCATCCACAATGTCGTTGTTCCTTCCGTTTCACTCTCGTTGCTGCTGCTCCTGCTGCTGCTGCTCCTGTTGCTGCTGCTGCTGCTGCTGCTGTCCGCGAGGTCCTCGACAGCACCAAACGAAGAGCGATGGTATAGTTGTTGCAAAGTCTCCAGTGGGACCTAAGACAGCAGCAGCAGCAGCAGCAGCAGCAGCGGCAGAAGACTGGCTACCCAGCGGCAGAATGACAGAAAGCCGGGCTGGCTCTACCGGCTGCATATGAAGCGGCAGCTACAGCAGCAGCAAATGAGCAGCAGCAGTTGTCGCTGCATGCAGCGGCAACTGCTGCTGCTCATTTGCTGCATGCAGCAGCCCGATATGTGAGCGCCAAGACAACCATTAAAGACAATGGACAGCAGCAGCAGCACGCAGAACACAGTTTCAGCAGCAGCGGCAACAGCGGCCCGGCAGACCGTACGAAGCAGTAACAGCAGCAAAATGGGAGATGATAAACAGAAACAGCATGACAGAGCACGACAGGCAGTAGCAGCACAGCAGCAGCAGCAATAGCAGCAGCAACAAAAGCACCAGCACCAACAGCAGCAGCAGCAACAGAAGCAGCAGCAGCAAAGCAGCAGCAACAGCAGCAGAAGCAACAGCAGCAACAGCAGCAGTAACAGCAGCAGCAACAGCAGCAGCAGCAGCAATCCCTTACAGGCACAAATGATACGCTGAGGGTCAGAGTGTCTTCCAGAGCTCGATTTGCTGCCAGCAGCAGCTCGGGGGGAGGCGAATTTGCTGTCTGTGTTGCTGCTTGGATCGAGACCAGCAGCGCAGCAGCAGACTCAACTATGACGTCTACGATTTCGCGCTGCTCATTGAGCTGCTGCGCTTGTTGCTGCTGCAGCTCCTGCTGCTGCTCCTGCTCCTGCTGCTGCTGCTGCTGCTGCAGTGCGCCAGCATAGTGCAGCAAAAGCACACGCACCCCATCCACAGCAATGACAAGAGTCTCTGCCCACTGCTTCGCCTCCGTGTCGCTGCTGTTGCTGCTGCTGCTGGTACTTCTGCTGCTGTTGTTGCTGCTGCCACTGCTGCTCTCCCCTCGCCGCAACGCCAGCTTAATATACGCGCCGCAAACATCCAACAAGGTCGTGGTCAGGATGCGGGAAACGCACCTGCAGCAGCAGCAACAGCAGCAGCAGCCGCGGAATCATGCCACAATTTGAGCCAGGGTGCAACAGCAGCATCTTTGCTGCTTCTGCTGCTGCGAAGACGCTCTAGCTGCTCTAGTCTGCGGCCCCATAGACACTTCACTTTTGCCGAGAGCTGTTTCCCTCCGCAACAGCAGCAGCACCGTCAGCAGCAGCGGCAAATTGAGCAGTCGCAGCAGCACTGTGGGCAGCAGCAGCAGCAGCAGCACCAGCACCAGCTGGCACCTCAGTGCGTGCGCTTGCTGCAGCGACAAGGGGCAGGAGCGCAGCGCAGCAATTAGACTGCGCAAAGAGCAGTGCCGCAGCTCTGGCCTTTTGTCTGTGGCGAGTTGACTCAAGTGCAAGAATGTTTGGGAAGTTAGCAGCTCCTCCACTGCCTGCTGCTGCTGCTGCTGCTGCTGCTGCTGCTCTTGCGTGAGCCACAGAGGCTCGAAAGCGCGCAGGTGGGATGCGAGCTGCAGGCCGCAGAAAGCCGTGTCTGCCGCATCCTCTGCTGCTTGTGCTGCTGCTCGTGGGCCTGCTGCTGCTTCGTTTGCTGCAGCAGCCGGCGCTGCGCTGGCTTCGGCTTTGTCTTCTGCTGCAGCAGCAACAGCAGCAGCATTTTTCTTTCGACGAGACTTTCCTAAGAAGTCTGTGAGGGACCAAAGAAGGCCAATGCATCTGTAGGCGAAGCAAGAAGCAAAGCCCGCCGACAGATCTGCCGTTCCAGCTGCTGCTGCTGCTGCTGCGTCGCTGCTGCTGCTGCTGCTGCTCTCCTCGGAGCTCGCCAGCCCCCCCACAGCCGCCGCCAAGACATGTGTCAGTCGCTGCAGCAAAGGCATACTCGTGAAACAGAATAGTCAAAAGCAGCGACACTTGCGCAACAGCAGCAACAGCAGCAACAGCAGCAGCAGCAACAGGCGCAGCAGCTCACATGCATCGGGATTTCCTCTCCGTAGTCATGCACTATGAGCTCCGCCAAGGCGAGAAGTTCCCTGCGCTCTGCGCTGCAGCCTGGGGTCTGGATTAGCTGTTTGCTGCTGCTGCTGCTGCTGCTGCAGCAGTTCGTGCTTCTGGCAGCAGCAACTGCAGCAACAACCGCAT